CCAGCGCTGCCAAGGCCACCACTAAACCATGTCACTAATGGCCTCATCTACTACTGCCTATCTCTCAGGGGTGACTTGTGGGTGCCGTGACTGTGTGTCCCAGTCCCAGAGGGGTGATACATGGGTGGTTTGTGGGCAGTGTGCCTGTATTTCCCTTTTTAGCAGGGGTGGCTCATGGGTACTGTGACAGTAATGAATCATAAAATCAGACTGATTTGGGCTGAAGGGACCTTAAAGCTCATCCAGCTCCAGCTCCTGCCATGGGCAGGGACACCTTCCACTAGAGCAGCTTGCTCCAAGCCCCTGTGTCCAACCTGGCCTTGAACACTGCCGCAAGTGCTCACATCTCACAGAAGTGACTTGCAGAGGATGTGGCAGCTTGTCCCCATTGCCTGGGGGTGGCTCATGGGCTGTGTCCCAGCACATCCCCACCCATGACAGTGTTGGGGGCTGAGCCCTGCTGCCTGTTGGCCCTGCAGGGTGGATCCAGACTGCATCAGCCCTGACATGAAGAACTCCATCCATGTGGGCGACCGCATCCTGGAGATCAATGGCACTCCCATTGGCCATGTGCCCCTGGATGAAGTATGCTCTCCCTTGCCCCAAGCCAGCCCCCCTCCCCGGTGCAAAACTACCACCGCAATCATTCTTTGCCCCCAGATCGACGTGCTGATCCAGGAGACCACGCGCTTGCTCCAGCTGACCATTGAGCACGACCCCCACGAGGCTCCTGGCCGCGAGCCGGGGCTTGCCTGCAGCCCCCTGACTGCCCCATGCAGCCCTCTGCGCTCCCTGGTCCCCCCAGCCTGCGGGGAGCCTGGTGCCATGCGCCAGCGGGCTGTCACGTAAGGCCACCAGTTTGCCCGCCTCTCCTGTTGGGGTACGTCCTTAAGGTTCACCCTCTGACCGTCTGTCCATCCATCCTGCAGGAGGAGCTGCAGCACAGACAAGTCTCCAGGCTCCGGCTCGGTAGGTTCGCCAGCGTCCCAGCACAAGGACATCGGTCGCTCTCAGTCATTGCGCGTCGTCTCCCGCACCCATCGCATCTTCCGCCCTTCTGACCTGATCCATGGCGAGGTGCTGGGCAAGGGCTGCTTCGGCCAGGCCATCAAGGTGGGGCTGGATGGCCAGAAGTGTCATGAGCATGAGGGTCTTGGCTCCCCAGGGATGGAGGGGAGGTATCTTCTCCAGCTTTTCCCCAGTGACTCAGCCCCCGTGCGCCCTTCAGGTAACTCATCGGGAGACGGGCGAAGTGATGGTCATGAAGGAGCTGATCCGCTTCGATGAGGAGACTCAAAGGACCTTCCTCAAAGAAGTGAGTGTTCCCTTTCTTTGATCCCCCTAGTCTTGGGGGGACACGGGGGATGAGGCTGTCCCATGTTCTCACCCACCCTGGCACAGGATTCTGGACACACCACCTGAAGCAGGGGTAGCCAGGCACAATGAGGTGCAGGCAGCCCTGCCTGTTCAGTGGAGAACATGTGAGCAGCGGGTCTGGGTGGGTGCTTGGGGTGTCACAGGATTGGGGTGGTCCTGCAGGTGAAGGTGATGCGCTGCCTGGAGCACCCAAACGTCCTCAAGTTCATCGGGGTGCTGTACAAGGAGAAGAGGCTCAACTTTATCACAGAGTACATCAAGGGGGGCACCTTGAGGGGACTCATTAAGAGCATGGTGAGCACTGTGGGGGCAGGTCAGCCCACCACCACCCCACAGCCCCAGTGGGGCTTGGGAACTCCTTTCTCTTTGGCAAATTCCCCCTCCTGCCCCCAGGACAGCCACTACCCCTGGAGCCAGCGGGTCAGCTTCGCCAAGGACATTGCTGCTGGCATGGTGGGTGCCACCAAGAGATGGGTGGGTGGGTGGGGGAACACAGGGCGGGGATGCGTCCCAGTCTCAGCCCATCCTTTCCACAGGCCTACCTCCACTCCATGAACATCATCCACCGTGACCTCAACTCTCACAATTGCCTTGTGCGGGAGGTGAGTCTTGCCTCAGCAGTGTCATCCCCAGGCCCAGGTGGGGGTCTTGGCCCCCTGTGTGGCTCCCCCCGTGCCTCACCCCTCTCCTTCCACCCAGGACAAGAGTGTGGTAGTGGCTGATTTTGGGCTGGCGCGGCTGATGGTGGATGAGAAGAACCAGCCTGAGCATCTCAAGAACCTGAAGAAACCGGACCGTAAGAAGCGGTATACAGTGGTGGGGAACCCGTACTGGATGGCCCCAGAGATGATCAATGGTGAGTCTGGCAACATGAGGGGACATATGGCCAGCCAGGGCTCTGTCCCCAAGCAGGGGACAGAGGTGCAGGCACAGGACATGCAGCATGGCCTGACCCATCTACCCAACAGGGAGGAGCTACGATGAGAAGGTGGACATCTTCTCTTTTGGCATTGTCCTGTGTGAGGCAAGTACCCCTGGGGCTGGGGTACTCACTTGGGGTTGAGTTCATCCCTTGGGTTGGGAGCCTTATGTTTGGGGTCCCTCCCTTCTTGGAGTTAGGGTGCCCCCTTGGGGCTGAGCCAGCTCCTCTTCCCCAGATCATTGGCCGGGTGAGCGCTGACCCCGACTACCTGCCCCGCACCACTGACTTCGGCCTCAATGTCAGGGGCTTCCTGGACCGCTACTGTCCCCCAGCTTGTCCCCCCAGTTTCTTCCCCATAGCCGTCTGCTGCTGCGACCTGGACCCTGAGAAGCGGTGAGTCCTTGAGGACCTCCCCTGGGGGACCCCTGGGGCTAGTGAAGGGTGGGGAACAGACACAGCACGGCTGCGATGTGTCCCCTCTTCTTGCTCAGGCCGTCTTTCAGCAAGCTGGAGCAGTGGCTGGAAACCCTCCATATGCATCTGGAGATCCACCTTCCGCTGAGCTCCCAGCTGGAGCAGCTGGACCGAGCCTTTGGGGAGATGCACCGGCGGAGCGAGGGCGGGCTGCCTGCACCCCCTCGATAGACCCCTGCATCCCCTCTGGAACCACAGGACAAGGAGCTGTGCCCGCTGCCAGCATCTCCTCTGGCTGTCACCATCCCCAGGGCTGGATCCCTGGGGCTCCCTGGATGAGCCCCCCAAGCCTATCTCTGCACGGGCTGCCTGCTGCTGCCCACACTGTCCCTGGGAGCTGGCTCTCCCCGGGGCTGCATGGCCCCTGCACGCTGTAGCTGATACCCCTGGAGAAGCCTGGCCACACCATGGGGACCATCCTTGTGTCTCCCTGGCTTGCTTTGCCTTCGCCCCACAGGGCTGCGTGGCCATTGGCCCCGCACATGCCCCGTGGGCTGCCCCGAACAGAGCCGCGGCCTCGCGGTGGTGCCTTGGCTTTCCATGAACTTGCACTGCAACACAGGAGGGGACCTCCAAAGGGTTCCTTTGGTGGGGGTACATGGCCCCTTGCCTCCCAGGCTCGTAGCAATGCCGTTGTCCTCGGCCAGCCCCTCTAACGCTGCTCCTTGCTGGCACCCAAGGCTTGGGGAACTGCCAGCACCCTCGGCTGAGCAAGGGACCCATGAGGGATGGGGGGCACCCATCTGGTCGCCACTGCCTTCATGTCCCTGCTACCCATGCTAATCCATGACTGCACATCCCTGGGGACAGCACCAAGTGGTCCAGAGGGATGCAGGGATGTGAATGCCCTTGACCTGGGGTGGTGGGGGGCTGTACCATGCGGTGCTTTTCATGCTCTTTATTCAGGTTCATTTTTCTGTAAGATATTTAAAGAGAAGAGTTTGTATTATTTTTTCATACGATGTAGCGTTTGCCATTTGTCACTGCCTCGGTTCTGCTTTCCCAAAGGGATGAAACTGTGAAGCCTCTCCGTTGCACTTTTGCCCGGGAAGTCAAAGGCGATGTCCTCTCCAGAGGCGGGAAGGGAGCTCAAACTGTGATGTACCCCGAGCCGTGAGTCAATAAATCCTTCCCCACTCACTGCCCAGCCTGCTTGGGTATCGCTCGCCTCCGCAGGGGGCTGGGAGCTCTTGGGGAAGTTGAGGCAGGAGGGGACAGTCCCTCTGCTTGGGCTGGTGCAGGGGTACTGGGCTTGGTGGTATGCCCCAGCTTCGTCACTTCTGTGCTGGCAGCACTGTTGTCCCCCTTTATGCTTTTCCCACCCCTTTGTGAGTCACCTTAAAAACCTGGGGCTGATGCCATCCCCACCTGGCCAGCCCCCCCCAGACCCCAAAGCCCTGTGTCCCCTCCCTGGGCCCCATGCGACCATGCTGACTGTCACACCACGCGATGGCAGAGCCTATGGTGGCAACTGGCAGGTTATGGAGCTGCATAACTGTGGAAGCAGCTTTGCCATCGATGTAAAACAAGCCCCAGGGAACAGTGGTGGCCCATGGCTGTCCCATGCTGTCCCTCCACCCTTCTCACCTTCCTAAACCAAACTGGGGTCTGCAGGGTGGGGGATCTCCATTCTTGGGGTGGGGGAGGGAGGTGGTGGTGGAGGGGATTGAGCTTCAGGTAGAAAAACTTGGACCCCAAGGAGCTCATGGAGGGGGTGACATAGAAGGGACTGGGGGTTGTCCCTGAGGATGTCCCTAGCGATGCTGCAGCTAAGAGAGGACGGGGGAGACTGCATCCCGAAGGGGTTCCAGGATCTGGGGTACTCTCATGGTTTATTGCTCTGGGGATGCCCGGTCTCAGTGCAGGAGGGGCCAGGACAGGGGGAGGTTGTTAAAGGAGGTGACAGTGGTTCCATTCCCACGCCAGGGTGGCCCCTTTGCCTGTTCCATGTTACTCAGGTGAAGGGACAAGGGCAAACACCCTGCCAGTGTCACAATGCTGCCAATGCGCCCTTGGTGACACCATGCCACGCTGGGTCTGGACACTGTTGCTCTCCAGAACACCAGGGCAACGGGAGTCCCCTGTGGCCATTACCCCTTGGATCATCATGGACCCCAGTACCCTGCCACTGCAGGACCCCGGGGGACCCCCATCCCCACAGTGGGAGCCCCCAGCCCCACAGGATCCTCAGTGCCGCTTCAGCCCTGTGCCCATCTGGGTGGAGCTGCAGAGCAGGGTGTGCATGGTGCACCCCGTGTCATCGGACCGCTTGCTGGTGACTCTGCAGCAGCCTTGTGGTGGTGGGCAGGGGAAGAGCCAGGTGAGAGCTGGCAGCCAGCCACAGCAGGACCTGAGCGGTGGCCACTCTGTCACTCCTGTGACTAACAACGTGCCCGATATTGAGCCATCGGCCTGGAGCTGCCCCTCACCAGGCAGGGGGGTGGCCCCCGCACAGCCCTCGTGGTCCTGCGCGAAACCAAAGCCCCCCAAGGAAGCAGTGCCCAAGTATGACTTTCGCTACCACCACCTGCTGCGCTTGCCCCACCAATGTTCCTCCAGGCAGCTGATGGCAGCCTGGCAGAACCCCTCAGCCCCACTGCACCCTTCAGCCCAGCCTGACACCGACACGAGTGGCTCAGTTCCACCAGTCTCAGCGCCCAGCTGTCCCCATTGGTTGTCACCTTTGAGGCAGGTCGTGTTCACCCAGACAAAGCCACAGGTTGCTGACATCTATGTCTGCACCCCATGTGCCTCTTTGGGTCCCACGCCATCCCCAGCTGATGGGGTCCTGAGGGATGGTCTTGGTGAAGTTCTGACCAAGCTCAAGCCTGGTTTGGCACAGAGGCCCTTGCTGCAGGCAGAGAGCTGGGAGAGCCTATGTCCATCCCCTCTGCTGGCGGGCCAGCAAAGTGCCACCAAGGTGGGGGCCAGTGGCACTGGTGGCTTTGCCAAAGACGTGGCTGAGCCAGTGCTGCTTGGCAGAGCCTCCCCCTGCTCCACCCTCATGCACAAGGCCCAGACCAAGACATCTCGCTGTGACCGCAATGATGAGGATGAGCCGTCGGCCTCTGAGTTTATCTTCATCTGCATGGGTAAATTTTGGGGACAGGGCGGGAAGGACACGGCTTCTCCCCACATACTGGCAGGGTGGGCACTGGTGCCAGAGGGACCCTTCCTGTGGGCAGGGGTGACAGGCAGTGGGGTCCCTATGAGGCTTGAGGAGATGTGCAAAGAGAGGAGGCGCTGGTGTCCAGTCAGGGCAACCCAGCTTCATAGGGTTATGTGGAGCTGGGGAAGGGATGCTGGGGTCCCACCAGCTTGCCCAGCTGTAGAGGAAGATGGGGAGCTGGAGTAGGGTCATTGTGGTCTGGCGGGGCCATCCAACTCCACTGGGATATGGGGGACAGGTCTTAATGCTTGGGTGCAGGAAGTCTTGCCCACACTGGAGGATTTCCTGGCAGTAAACGGGAGGTGGGACCTCGGGAGCCCTTCCCAGCAGCATTTCTATGGCTCTGCTCATCCATACTCCAGGGCTGGAGGCTGGATTGGAGATGTCCTGAGATCTCTTCTTTCCTATGTCCTTCTGATCCACCATCCTGCACCCAACTCTGTAGGATCTCTGTCATAGTTGGCACTGCTCCCAGAGTCATTCTGTTGTCCCCTGTGCACAGCATCAATCCTACCAGCTCAGGACTGGGCACTTTGCGTGGTTCGGGAGCAGTTTGAACTGTCTTTCCATGATTTGGGCAGGGAAGTGTTACTGTCACAGCCCCATGTGTCCCTCCAGCAGCCTGGGCTGGAAAGAAGCCACCTCCTTGGGTCATGCATGTGACCAAGTCACCACAGAAACCCTTGCGAGGAGCTGAAGCCAAAGCTAGCGGGTTGGTACCCACCTGCCTCAGTTTCCCCTTTTCCCAGGGACGCAGAATGGGAGGGTGGGAAGAAGGGGCTGTTGCTCCAGCTCCCTCTCCCCTTGTGGACGGGGCTGGTGAGAGGTACGTGGACAAACTGGTCCCGGCCAGGTGAGGCTCACCTGAGTTAAAGCCATGCAGGGAATCCCATCGGCCACCCAGCCCCAGCTCACTTGCAGCTGCTTCTGTTGGATCTATGTAAACATGGCATTTTTAAACCCAGCACCAGGGATATATGGCTTTGCTGTGCTTCCTGCAGCATCATGTCCTTCCCTCATCACCCTCTGTCCCAGCCCCACTCTGCCAACCAGGGACACAAGGGTCCCCTCCCTGGGCCCCATGCGACCATGCTGACTGTCACACCACGCGATGGCAGAGCCTATGGTGGCAACTGGCAGGTTATGGAGCTGCATAACTGTGGAAGCAGCTTTGCCATCGATGTAAAACAAACCCCAGGGAACAGTGGTGGCCCATGGCTGTCCCATGCTGTCCCTCCACCCTTCTCACCTTCCTAAACCAAACTGGGGTCTGCAGGGTGGGGGATCTCCATTCTTGGGGTGGGGGAGGGAGGTGGTGGTGGAGGGGATTGAGCTTCAGGTAGAAAAACTTGGACCCCAAGGAGCTCATGGAGGGGGTGACATAGAAGGGACTGGGGGTTGTCCCTGAGGATGTCCCTAGCGATGCTGCAGCTAAGAGAGGAAGGGGGGAGACTGCATCCCGAAGGGGTTCCAGGATCTGGGGTACTCTCATGGTTTATTGCTCTGGGGATGCCCGGTCTCAGTGCAGGAGGGGCCAGGACAGGGGGAGGTTGTTAAAGGAGGTGACAGTGGTTCCATTCCCACGCCAGGGTGGCCCCTTTGCCTGTTCCATGTTACTCAGGTGAAGGGACAAGGGCAAACACCCTGCCAGTGTCACAATGCTGCCAATGCGCCCTTGGTGACACCATGCCACGCTGGGTCTGGACACTGTTGCTCTCCAGAACACCAGGGCAACGGGAGTCCCCTGTGGCCATTACCCCTTGGATCATCATGGACCCCAGTACCCTGCCACTGCAGGACCCCGGGGGACCCCCATCCCCACAGTGGGAGCCCCCAGCCCCACAGGATCCTCAGTGCCGCTTCAGCCCTGTGCCCATCTGGGTGGAGCTGCAGAGCAGGGTGTGCATGGTGCACCCCGTGTCATCGGACCGCTTGCTGGTGACTCTGCAGCAGCCTTGGGGTGGTGGGCATGCACAAGGCCCAGACCAAGACATCTCGCTGTGGCCACAATGATGAGGATAATCTGCATCGTTAGATTTGGGAGACCGCCTGGGAAGAAGAACGCGGCTTCTGCCCACATCTTGGCAGGGTGGGCAGCAGTGCTGTGGGGTCCCTCCCTGAGTGACAGTAGCTGCCTGCTGGCAGGGATCCAACGGGGAACAGCCAAGGCTTTGTGGGGTCCCTGGAAAACCTCAGCTTCTAATGGGAAAACTTCTTTCTTCAGATAATTCTTTCTTCTGCTGCTCTCCTCCTCCAGCTCCAGTGCAACCCTTTCCCAGAGAGGCTTCAGAGAAGATGGTAAGCAATGGGCTGGGGCTGTGTGGTGGGAGCTTGGGGAGACACTGGGAAGCTTCTAATTCCCCAGTTCCACCAGGTCCCCAGGCTTGGCACTGAAGATGGGCAGCATGGGCTGGTGAATCCTTTGTAAGTGGTTTGGGGGGAGCTGGTGACGTGATGAGTTGTGGGACAGCTCAGCCAGGGGGGGTCGGTGGACACAGGCAGGGGGCCTGTGAGGGCTTAGGCTGGGACCACCTGGGCTTGTGCATTTGGATGGCTGTGACTCTGTCCCCACTGGTGTGCCACCATCCCATCTCTTAGGGGCTGGCACCAGCCAGACATGGAGACTGTGGCCCCTCACAGTCCCCAGACCTCCCCTGTCCTGATCAGGGACCAGAGCTGCCTGCAGAGATCCAGCACAAGGATGGGGAGACCCTGGCAAATGGGTTTGGGGTTGCTGGGAGACCCTGGTGAGTGGATTTAGGATTTGGGAGACTTCAGCACATGAGTTTGGGGATTATTTGCTGCCCTGAAGGGGTCAAGCACAGGGCCCGACCCAGACATGGGCAGCCTGTAAGGCTCTGATCAAGGGAAAGAAGGTAAAAGGCAGGAGTTAAAGCCCAGGTTTTTGGGGTGCATCTTGAGAACAGCCCCTCAGCCCACCTTGACACCATACTCAAGAGGGATGGAGCAGAACTCGGGGGGCACTGTGAGCATGCAGGATGTGGCTCATTCTCTCTATGAAATCTTGAGTTTATCTCGAGCTTGGAGGTTGTTTGGCTGCTTCAGAGACTGGGAAGTGCAACCTCCCTGCCTGACTGTCACCTCTGCGTGTCCTTTGGGGTGACTTTTGTGATGGACCCTTCAGGGATTTCTTCCTGGGACATGTATGTGGAGCAGCAGTGAGGTGCTCCCCTCTGGCTGGCATTCCTTGCCCCAGCCACTGCACTGGGAAGGACCCAAAACTGGACCCACTGCAACTGAAATAGCTAAAAATAAGCAGTTTCTCACATTGATGCAGAAAAGCATCCAAACATGTGGCCTCTGAACCCGCCAGCAGCTGAGGACAGGACTGACCCCCAGCCCCATCCCATGTCTGGCAGACACTCTGCGACCTCTACAACACCAAATCTTCCCCTACTGAACCTCCCCTTTGAAGCTCCCCTGGTGCAAGCAAAGCCACAAGGACTACCTTGATGCTGGGGTGATGCAGGCTGCAGGCTGGGAGTGCAGGCAGTCCCCCCACTGCGGGCAGCAAGGAGGCAAGGGGTTAACCTTCCTCCACCAAGATGCAGCATCCTGGGCTGGGTTATTTCCATCTTGTTTTGGTTTGGAGGAATAACAGCTTTGGCAGCAGCATAGTGGCTTCCCAAAATAACTCAGCCTCCAATGGTAATTACAGAGCTCTGGTCCCTGGTAGTGGATTGTGGTGGCTTTCCGGCCTGTCCATGCTGTGCTGGGACCCGCTAACGTTGCTGCCAGCCAGGGTAAGGGAGACTGGGGTGCCTCAGGGACCTTGGGACCTCTCAAGCAGCACCAACCTCCCTCAGTGTCATCCCTGCTCCCCTCGTGTCATCCCCTGGCCAAGGAAATGCAGCCCCTTGCATTCCCCCCTCCCGCTTCACAGCTCATCCCTTCAGCTTTTAATGTTCTAAAGCCTGGGTTGCAGCTTGCCAGCCTCAAAGTGACTGTGCTACTGGAGCAAGCTGGTGGCAGCTACAGGTTTTGCTGCTGGCATGGCTGAGAACGCCCACAGCTCATCACAGCGATGTTCAGTCTGCCCTGAGGGGCTCAGCTCTGCTCTTGAAGGGCAGGGAAAGATGGGGCTGAGCACCTGAGCCTGTAATCCCTAATAATCCTGGAGAAAAGCACTCTCTGTGGTGATTGGAGATGCAAACAACAGCCCTCCCCTGCCTGCCCCTGGCTTGCTGCCTGGCCACCCCAGATGGATGGGGTCTGAGTGGCCACTGGGACTTTGCTGTGTTCTGCTTGCTAATCCTGCATTGGTTGTTTATGGGAATGAAGGGAACACAAAGCCATCTGGCAGCACCCTGACCCTGTAGCAGGGTGGGGAACAAGGCCCTGGGCAGTGACAAAGTTGGGGACCACACTGAGATGGTCCCTGTGGAGCCACCCAGACTTGGTGGGAATCTTAGATTTGGCTTTTCCTGCTGGGAAGTTACCACCAGTTTTGTTTTAGGGGTAAGGAAACTGAGGCAGGAAGAGCTGCCCATGAGAGGAATGCTCTGGGAGTGCTTGTGGCCTTGTCACCTCCCCAGCACGGGGTGTGATGGAGGGGATGAGGACAGCCCCGGTGGGCAGCTGAAACAGGAGGCTGAAATTCGGGGATGGCTAAGCCGCTGCCAGCTACACACCATAGGAACGGCCACAACTGGCCAGTACTCCCCCAGCCCCTTTCATGGCCAGGAACACAAGCACCCCATGTTGCCCCAGCCGCTGTGCCAGCGTCCTCTCCTGCCCTTGCTGGGAACAAGGGGCTACAGCCGCTTGCCACTGGCACTCACTGCTTGTGAAAGAATGGGCCTGGGGCCAGGGCATCCCGGGAAGGGGCTGAAATCCCTGGCATGGGATAGGTATGGGGGCAGGGTGACGGCCTGCGGGGTTCCCCCTGCCAGATTTCCAGCCTGCCAGCCAGTCGCAACCAAGTCAAGGCAGGGCCACTGGCAGAATTGCCCGACATCAGCACTGGGAAAGGCTCAGAAGGCTGGGATTTTGCAGGGAGACCACGGGGGAAGGCTAGGATCTGGTGCCTCATGCTCAGTGCAGGGCCTGGTCCCTGGTACCCAATATGTGAGGTGCATTGCCAGCGTGTTTGCTTGGTGCTCAGTGCCTGGCACACTGTTTCCAGTACTCAACTCTGTTAAAGTGCTCCGCATACCCTGTGGCTGGTGTGCAGCATCTGGTGCCTCCTGGTAGCCACTGTGCAGTGCCAGGGGCTGCTCCTCACTGCCCGGGAGTCACTCCCTGCTGCACTGGGTACAAGGGTAGCCAACGCCAGGAGCTGAAGCCTTGTACCTGTGGCAGGACCCTGCCCCTAGTGCACAGTGGGTGCAGGTCCTGGTACCCAGTGCCAATGCCCAGTCCTGGGTGCAGGTACTCGGTGCCAATGCCTTCTCTCCAATGCCCTGTCCCTGCTGCAGATCCCGGTACCCAAAGCTCTGCACCAAGGCCCTGGTGCTGGCGCCTGGTCCCAGCGCGTCAGACCCGCCGGGCAGTGCCCGGTGCTGGTGGTGCCGAGTGCCCCGCCCCGCCCCGCCCCGGGCCGCCCCCGCCCCCGCCCCCCGCCGGCTTCTATTTCTGCTAATCCCGGCGGCGGGGCCCGGCCGCTCGGCAGCCGCCGCTCCCGGACGGTGCCCGGCTCCGCAACCATGGTAAGGCCGAAAGGCGGCGGGGCGGGGCAGGCCAGGCCGGGCTGCCCGGCATCGCCCCGCGCCTCCACGGGGAGCTGGGCCCGCTCCCGCATCCCGGTGCCCTCTGTGAAGGTGACGGTGCGGCGTGCGCGGAGCGGGCCGGGGTTCGCCGGTGCCGCAGATGGGCGGAGGGGGGTGGTGTCCGTATGTCAGCGAGGCAGCACCTGCCCGCAACCGGCCACGGGGAAAGATGAAGGGGGAAACGAGACCGCCTACTGACACCGACCCTCAGTGTGGCATCGCCACGGGCGTCCCCCCACCTCCTTCCGGAAAGGCGACGCTGCTTCTGAGCGGCACCTGCAACTGTCCCCGAGACCTGTGAGTGTCCCTGCGTAGAGGCGGGGGCTGTCCTCGGCTGGCTCCGAGCTCAGCAGCGGTCACACAGCTGTACCTTTGCCAGGTCCCCAGGCTGCGGTCCCACCGGTGGTGCCAGGTTGGACTGGCCCTGCTCTGGGGACTGTCAAGCACCCGGAGCCCAACTGCACTTTGGAGCCATTTCTGCAGGTACCTGCAAGGTCCGGAGCTGCCGCCAGCCTTCCTCCCTTGGCAGGAGCATCACTTGTCCTGCCTCGATTGTGGCAGGTCCCCAGGAGCTGCTCGCCGGAGCCACATCCTCACAGGGACCTTGAGGTGTTGGTCATGCCCAGGGTGAATGGTGATGGAGTGTTGTGGCTGTGGTTCACATGGCACCAGGGTTGTGGCCACTGGAACAGTTGCCCTTGTTGGGGACCATCCTGGCCATCCTTCCCTGGCAGCTGCCGTGGGAGTGGGACAGGCACATTCCTCTGGAGTGGAGCAGGATGCAGTGAAACCAGATAGGAGGGTGGCTGGCGGCGTGTGTTGTGTCACAACTGGCTCCCTTGAGTGCCTTCCCCAAAGGCTCCAAACTGTGGCTTTGGGGATAGATAGATCTGGGCTTAGAAACATCTGTTGGGTGAGGACAGCAGGCACAGCCAGGTTTGAGAGGGGAGTTGAGCTCCCTTCTCCATTCATGTGGGGTTAGCTGGGGCTGGAGATGGGTGTGGATACTACCAGAATGACTGGTGGAGATGAAGCTGGTGCCCCTGACACCGGTGCTGCATCCTTCTGTCCCCAAAGGAGTCCACAGATTATCCAGAGAAGTGCCTGTTCCCATGTGACCCTGCTTCCAGGATGGGCAGGCCCTGTTGTCACTTCCCAGCTGTGAAAAGCCACTGTACATTGTTCCATATCAGGGTCCCTGTGCAAGAGCTCGGAGGTCTTCCAAGCTGGAGGATTCCCTCCAGGAATGGGTCTGGAGCTGCTGTGCAGAGGGATGTGTTGGGAAGGCTCTTGTCCCACATGCTCACCTGCTTGGTGCTGCCACCCTGCCTAGCCTGAGAACCTGCACTGCTGCCTGGCCCTGCATTCATTGGGTGCCCAGCACCCTGCTCCTGTTAAAGTTGTTGGTAGACTCAGTTTCCCAATTGGGATGCTTTTGATGGCGTGAGAGGCGAGAGCTGTTTGTAAGAAACTCTGATTGTAGCATGTTGGCATGAGCATCCCATGTATCTGGGGGCAGGTTGGAGCAGGAACAGCCCTGGGGAAGAGCTGGGCTCCCCAGGCTGATCCTGGCAGAGTTGGGCTTTGATGGGGGCCACTGTGCCCTTGCCCCCTATGGAGTTTGTTCCTTTGGGACAGGGTGTTTGTGCTTGGTTTACCCAGCCGTTACACTACAGTAGAGCCACACTGTATTGTGGGTGGCACATCTAGACAGAAATCACAAGATGATTTGGATTGGAAGGGAACTTAAAGACCACGTAGTTCCAGCCCTCTTGCCAAGGATGTCACCTTTAAGTGAGTTTGGGGATGCCTTGGCCAGCCTAAATACAAGAACAGCCCCTCTCTGCGATGTTCCCTTCCTTTTCCTGTAGAAACAGGCTGGGAAAACCAACCCCATGGGAATGTGGTGCCAGGCAGAAAGATGCTAAAGGGGAGCCAGTGGCTTTCCTAGCTCAGACTTCTGTCTCTTGCTGCCTCTGCCACAGCCCTGGGTCTGGCATTGTGTGGGAAGTTGTGATGCAGTGTGACAAGGCAGCGTGTGTGTCACCTTGCTGGAGCTGCTGGGCCGGTGAGAGCTGAGTGCCAGCGTGTATGCAGCCAGGCGCATAATCTGCTTATGGGAGCACCAGCGCAGCCTCAGCCTCCTGCTGTGGTAAATCCCCGCTCCTGCTGGGAGCATGGAGTGGGATGGTTGGAAAATGGGTGTTTTAGGAGAGCTGTGCTACACCAGGCAAGGGGAATTGGAGGGGCACTGCTGATGGAGTGCAGGGCCTGGTCAGGCTGGTGGGATTGTGGCGGGGTGCTGCAGACTGTGATGGGTGGGGAAAGGGGCTGCAAGGCCTTGGGGAAGCTCCTTAGGGAGGTGCAGTGTCAGCTGGGAATGGTGACCTTGCTCCCTTGGGACTAGGCTGCGCAGGGACAGCTGAGGCTGGTGGAAACAGCATAGTCTCCATTGCTGGTGTTGAGTGACCTCAAAGCTGGGTGAGGGGAGACCTAGCGCTGGGGTGAGGAACTTGGCTGGGACCTAGGGATGCTGGGGATGGACACAGAAGGATCCAAGCCCCGCTTTCTGCCTGGTAGTCCTGTGGTTCATCACGCCTGTCCCAGCACTAGCCGATGCTTCAGTACTCTTTAGTGTTCTCCTGGCAAATGCAGCCCTTCCACAGCTGAGCAGCTGCAGTTCTGTGCCTGAGCTGCTCTGATTCATTTTGACATACATCAAGGTGAATTACCGTTCCTGGTGACCCCTGACATCGAGAGCTGGGGACTCTGCTGGCACCCGAAGCTCCTCTTGAGGCACTGTTAACCCTTTGCTTCCCTAAAGATGAGCTGGGGAGGCCAAGGCAGGACTGCTGAAGCTTCTGCCAGATATCCTGTGGTGGGCATCATCCTTGCTTCTCCCAGCCCAGAGCTGGGCCCTTCCCAGCCAGACCCATCATGCCCAGCCAAAACAACAACATGGAGCTGTGCAGGGAAGTTTTGATTGTGAGGCACAAAAGTGTTTTGCTTTCAAAGAGTGTTTCATGGAAAACTGGGTTTCTCCCATCAAAGAGGCTGTGGAGCCCTGCTGGGGTGGCTCTAGGGTAGGAAGCAGGAGAGGACTGGTGTGCACTGGGATGAAGAAGGTTTTTATCCTAGGGTGGAGGTGTTTCCATGGGCTTAACATCCCCCTGGGCTGCAGCCAAGATCTGCCCAGGGGGGGCTGCTGGTGGTGATGATAATGGTCATGGTGATGCAGCCCTCCAAGGACTTCCCTTGCCATCTCCTTGGCTAATGATGGTCCTTGACATCTTGACATCTTGACAACTTGGCAGAAGCTGGACTTGGCTGTGCCCTGGGGCTCCCTCTCCTCTCCTTTGACCCCCTCTCTGGTCCCGCCCCAAAGGGGCTGTGCCTGGGTGCTGTGGGAGCCCCAGACGTGGTGCCTGTCCAGGGTGGAGTTATGCTAATGCTACTCCCCATCCCTCTGCACAGCTGGTGCCACTTAGCATCCTCTCCTGGACACGGGTGACATCAGCTCTGCCATGGCCACCTGCCCAGATCTGCAGCCTGGGCAAGAGGTACGGAGACAGTGTCCCCCCTCCCCAGCGGAGCGAGAGGGGGCACATGGGGATGGGGGACCCAGAGCACCCAGAATTATGGGAAGGTGCCACAGCAGTGTTCCATTCCTGGGACAGCCTTCCTGGGGGATGCACTTGCTGCAGGACTCCTGAGGATGTGGTGCAAATGCTGTCCATGCCACAGCATTGCCGAGGTCATCGGTTTCTCTGGGGGTGGGGAACAAGGGACAGCCCCAAAGGGCTGGAGCACCGAGGGATGGAGCAACAACAGAGCTGGGCGTGCTTGGTGGTGATGGTGGCATTATCTCCCATCTCTGTGTGGCCCATGGCTGGGCTGTGCTGTGGTGGGGGCTGATGCTGAGCCCCCCAGGTCAAGGTCAGTGAGAAAGAGGATGCTGTGATCACAGAGTCCCACTGCTGCTATCGACCTGCTGAGGGAGAGGAGGGTATAGAGGCACCGGTTGCCCTGCAAGCCTGTCCTCATGGCCTCTGTGCTGCTGGGTGCACCTTGGGGGGGGGGGGGGGGGGGGGGGAGGAGGGGGGCAGGCATGTGAGCACACAGGCCCTGCAGTGCCCTGACCTTGTTTCCAGCCCAGTAATTCAGTGCATCTTGCCTTGCCGCAGGCACTGCTGCCCGCTCCACCAATGGAGCAGGGATATGGAACAGGAGAGGACGTGTCCCCATGGAGGGCTCTTACTTTGAGGCGCTGACTGACGGGGCACTGGCGCCTGGGCGTGAGCCTGCAGCGTTGTGCCCCTCACCCCGACTCTGTGTGCCGTCCATTTGAGGATCTCCCTGCTCATGAGGCTAGGGTTTCCTGGCAGTTGCTGCGGTGGAGTGTCGGGGACCCTGTTGCCTACTGGCAGGAGGGCTTGTTCCCACAGGAGCTGCTGCCAGACATGCCTCCTCCCGTCAGCGCTTGTAAACAGGATGTGGAGCTGTCCTAGTCCCAGCATCCCTGTCTCTTGTCCCAGCCCCACTACCTCATGGGGCCTTCAGCTTGGACACCACTGTGCCCAGGCCCTGCTTGGCTTTGCCGCTGGCACCAGCTGCAGCATGGGCAGATCTAGGTCAAGGCGATGTTGGGGTCCTGGTGCATGCGAGGGGACAGCCTGAGTGGGTGTCCTGGGTTTAGCTGTAGCAGTCATTTTTTGTCTTCTTAATAGCTGGTGTAGTGCTGTGGTTTTGACTTTAGCCTGGGAACAGTGCTGTTTCGTAGTCCCTTTGCGCAACAGGTTGTGCTGTCCCGACCCTTTTGAATGTGGGCTTGGTGATAGCTGTGGGTCAGGCCCCCTGCCCTTGCTGTCTCCTGGGATTCAGGGATGGGAGCCCCTTGTGCCATTATGTGTACTGAGTGGGCAGTCAGGGGGCACAGGCAGACCCCTGCCACCATCTGCCTCCCCCCTGGGTGCAGCCCCACTGCCAGTTCCTCAGCCACCACTGTTCATCTCTTCTTGGTGTCTCTTCCTCCTCCCCATCCTCCCGGCAGGCCATGGGGTGTGTGGGGCTCCTGGTTATCCCAGAAGACACCAAGGAGCAGCAGGGTGCTCAGGGGGAATGTCCCCATCCCTGTTCCCAGGAGTGCCAGGAGCTAGCTGCTGTCCCGGTGCCACAAGCTGTAAGTGCCTGGGTGCATGGGAGCATGGCTGTCCTCACTGCCATCCCCATGGCTGTCCCCAGGGTGGTGGCCATGTTCCCATTCTCCTCCTATCCCTTTCATTCTTAGGTGCATGTGTATGGCTGCTGCAGCCTAGGGGCTCATGCTGCCAAGCTGGGTGATGCCACCTTGGGCTGGCAATGCCACCCCAGTGTCACCTGCTCTCTTGGTCCACAGATAAAGCGTTTCCTGAAGGAGGACTCTGAGGAGGCTGAGCTGAGCCAGCTCCTGCAGGATTGCCCACCGGTTGACAGCCCCAGGAAGGTGGAGCCCCCGGAGAGCTGGCAGGAGCCCGGCCGCCCCCTCTGTGGCATGGGCAGGCTCCCCCCTGACATCGACGAGAGGGATGCCAGGATCTTCTCCCGATCTCAGCCCCTGGATGTCCAGCAGCACATCGCAGCTCCCGCACCCCCGAGCCCCAACCGGCCCCGGAGCCCTTGGGGGCAGCTCGACCCCTATGACTCCTCTGAGGTGCAGGACACGTCGGGGGGGGGGGGGGGGGGGGGGGACGGACGGACACGGGCAGACGGACGGACGGACAAAGGGCTGCAGGAGTCACAATGGAGGACATCCTCGCTCTCCACAGCCAAAGGGTTTGGGCAGGCATGGCCTTATCCCATAGTGCTCCAACCCTGGGGGGCCTACTGGGGGGACAGGAGGAAGGGGGTGTCCTGCTGGGGTGGGGAAGAGTGGGTAGGATGGTGGTATCCCCTGTACCACGTCCCCTCTGCCTGCAGGATGACAAGGAGTACGTGGGCTTTGCCACACTGCCCAATCAGGTTCATAGGAAGTCAGTGAAGAAAGGCTTTGACTTCACCCTCATGGTGACAGGTATGGGGGGCAGGGGGTGTCCAAGCCTGAAAGCTGACCCTGTGCTGCATCCCAAAAGCCATGAAGTGGGTGGGAGGGAGTATGGGAGCATACCAGCTGCCCCCCTTACCCTTGTCCCTCTTTCCCAGGGGAATCTGGACTGGGCAAGTCTACCCTAATCAACAGCCTCTTCCTGATGGACATGTACAGAGACCGCAAGCTGCTAAATGCTGAAGGTGAGGATAGGAGCAGTCCAGAGATGGGGTATTCTGGGTCTTTTGTGGGGGGGTGGGGGGGTGGCAGAGCCCTGTGCCACTCCTGGGGAGCTGCAGCCCCTCCCCCTGCCCAGCAGGGCTCCTCCAGGTCTCCAATGCTGCCTGCAGCACGCTGCCAGCTGCCCATTGATGCTGGGGATGACTCCATGGCAGCAGGGACCCCCCTGCCTGGCGCAGGCACCCCCACGGGGGCTTTGTCCTCACTGGGGAAGCAAGCACCAGCTTCTATGGACTGGCTGGAACTGCAGTAAATCCAGGAGCTGTGGACAGTCGGGGTCCAGGGCACGGGGCCATTTCAGCTGCAGCCAGTCTTTGGCGTAAAATTGCCCAAACTTGCCCAAATCCACAGGGGTTCGAGGGGGTTGTTTGATTTGTTTCCATTGCTTGGAATGAAAACCAAAATGCATGTGGCTACAAAATGCAACAGCAACATCCTTGGGGACGCAGCGACATGGAAGGGTCCTAGGAGTAGAGAGGCATAGAATCATAGAATCTCTCAATTTGGAAAAGACCATTAAGATCATCAAGTCCAACCATTAATCCAGGACTGCCAAGTCCACCACTAAACCATGTCCCCTAAATGCCACACAGAATCATAGGATCACAGAATCAGACTGCTTTGGGTTGGAAGGGATCTTAAATCTCATCCAGTTCCAATGCCTGCCACAGGCAGGGACACCTTCCACTAGAGCAGCTTGCTCCAAGCCCATCTGTCCAGCCTGGCCTTGAACACTGCCAGGGATGGGGCAGCCACAGCTTCTCTGGGCACCCTGTGCCAGCGCCTCAGCACCCTCACAGGGAAGAGCTTCTGCCTAAGAGCTCATGTCAGTCTCCCCTCTGGCAGGTTAGAGCCATTCCCCATGGCCTGTCCCTACAGGCCATTGTCCAAAGCCACTCTCCAGGTTTCCTGCAGCCCCTTCAGGCACTTGAGCTGCTCTCAGGTCTCCCCTTAAGGAGCCTTCTCTTCTCCAGGCTGACCCAGCCCAGCTCTTTCAGCCTGGCTCCAGAGCAGAGCTGCTCCAGCCCTTGCAGCACCTCTGTGGCCTCCTCTGACCTTGCACCAGCAGCTCCACATGCCTCTTGTGTTGGGGGCCCATTTACACATCTTTAAAACACATCCAGGGACAGTGACTCCACCACTGCCCTGGACAGCCTGTTCCAGTGCTATGCACAGTCCTGAAACTGTGGGGTCATGCATAGGGGTTACAGGGAGCTAAAAATGCTCCCATAGTGATGCCTGGACCCAGCAGTCCCCTCTGCTTATGGAACTGGGGTGTCAAGAGATGGCACAGCCACCATGGGGTGGGTATACATTCATATGGATGCCAGGGGCCATGGCATGGTGCATCAAATCTTGGCTATGTCCCCTGGTGCACATAAGGGCTGATCCTGCAAAGCTGTCCCTGCCTTACAGGGATCTCCCTGCATCACCCCCATTGCCTCTCACCTGAGGTGCCCTCCCCACTACCACTGTTCATGTGTCTCCTGCTGCTGCAGAGCGCATCACACAGACAGTGGAGATCATCAAGCACATAGTGGACATTGAGGAGAAGGGTGTCAAGCTGCGCCTGACCATTGTGGACACTCCAGGCTTTGGTGATGCCGTCAACAACACTGAGTGGTACGTGCTGTGGTGGGTCTCCCCAGGGATTGCCTCTGAACGTGGGATGCCCAAGGGTCATCAGGCTGCAATGTTTGAGCCATAGGATGCATTGAGCTGGGGATTAAGGAAACCCTGAAGATCCCATGGTCACCTCCATGTCCCCACAGCTGGAAGCCGGTGGCTGACTACATTGACCAGCAGTTTGAGCAGTATTTCCGTGATGAAAGTGGCCTCAACAGGAAGAACATCCAGGACAATCGTGTCCACTGCTGCATCTACTTCATCTCACCCTATGGCCATGGGTACAAGCAGCCCCTGCCCACGCAGATGAGGTAGGGGTGCTCGGGAAGGGACTTGGTGGAATGGTGCTCACTTAATTCCTCCCCACAGGCTTCGGCCCCTGGATGTGGAGTTCATGAGAGCCCTGCACCAACGGGTGAACATTGTGCCTGTGCTGGCCAAGGCTGACACCCTGACTCCGACAGAGGTGCAGCGCATGAAGAACAAGGTGAGGGGAGGTCAGCCCAACAGGTCCCTGGGGAAGGGGCTGCACTGGGGCTGGTGGCCCTGCCTCGCTCAGCTGGGGTCTTTCTTAGTCCCCTGCCCAGACGTTGACATGGAGGATCCTCCATGCTCGCAGCATTGTAGAGGACTCTGTTGCCCATATGGCCATCAAGGACACATCTCCTTGGTGCTCAGCTGCAGGCTGGAAGGGTTTGGGTGGAACAGGGTCTTATATTTGCTTGTGGGACACTGGTGGTGCTTCTCACACTGTTTCCGAGGGCCAGAGCCTTGCCCTCAGCAGGGCTGTCTGCCTCCAGATCCGTGAGGACATTGAACACTATGGCATCCAACTCTACCAGTTCCCTGAGTGTGACTCGGATGAGGATGAGGAATTCAAGCTGCAGGACCAGGCACTGAAGGTGGGTTTGGTTCCACCAGCTCCATTCTTGGAGGGGCAGAGCCCCAAGGCCAGGAGGAGATGTCAACCTGGGGTACCCTTAACACTCTCTGGGGCAATGCAAGCTCTCCAGCACCCCAACATGATGGGGTCGGTACATGTTGCACTATCGGGATGCATCACCAAGACCCCACATGTGCCACCTACAGCTTGGTGGGATGAGGCTGGGGTGGAGAAACCCACTGTTGCAACTCTTGCCGTCCCACCTGGGGCTCTCTGTAGTCAGGGCTCTGGGGTATCTTGGCAAATGGGTTCTGTATACTGCTGAGAAGCATGTGGAGGGTTGTGGGCTGCGGTAGACAGGACCAAGCCCCGCTAACCCCTGCCATCCTCCTGCAGGAGAGCATTCCCTTTGCTGTCATTGGCAGCAACACGGTGGTGGAAGCCAAAGGCCGGCGCATCCGTGGGCGCCTCTACCCCTGGGGCATTGTGGAAGGTAATGCTGCGCTGTTGTGCCCCATCTCCACGTTGCTCAGTCCCAGAGCCTTTGGGGGAATGTGGGGGACTGGCTGTGACCCCTGACCTCGGGCTCCCCTGCAGTGGAGAACCCATCCCACTCTGATTTCGTGAAGCTGCGGACAATGCTGGTGAGGACCCACATGCAGGACCTCAAGGATGTGACGCAGGACATCCACTATGAGAATTACCGCAGGCAGTGCATCCAGAGCATGACCCGCATGGTAGTGAAGGAGAGGAACCGCAAGTAAGGGATCAGGAGTGGGGTGCTGGGGTGGGGGTGGCATCTCCTGTCTTTGGGGTGACCCCCGCCCATTGCAAGTGGTGATCTTGATGGGTTGCGTTTTTGTGTGGGTCCATGCTGGGCAGCATGGAAGGCTAGGTAAGAAAGCCTATTGGCGTTGTGGGGAACCCCAGTGTATTGGGGGACCCTTCCTGTGCCACTTGGCTGAGTCTGGCTGGGGGAGGATGCTCTGGCAGTGGGATCTTGTGTCCCCCTTAAGGCTGGGTCTATCTTAGGGGGATGCTTCAGTAGTGAGGGGAAACCCCATAGGGATGGCTTGGGGGGGAATGCTATGGCAGTGGTGGGGGGACCCTACACACCTCCCAGGGCTGGGGGAATCCTCCAGCAGCAAATGGGAACCTATGTCCCCTGTGGCTGGTTGTGTCTTGGGGTTGCTTCAGCAGTAAGGGGGACCCTGCATCCCACTTCTGAAGAGCCAGGCAATCAGCTGGTTCTGGGTTCATGTCATTTGCACCCTCTTTAGCCACCCCTTGGCTGGAGGGTCCCACGAGGGACCCTGCTTTGCAGGGCTGGAGCAGTATGGGAGCAAGTGGAGGCTCTGTGGGTTGTGGGGGGCTGAAGCAGCGGTGGGAGGCTGGCGGTGGCTGCAGGTGCCTCTAAGCTGGTCTCTCCATATGTGCCGTCGGAGAAGGCAGCATCCCTCAGCACTGAGGCTGTGCTGCACCGACTGCTCTGCTGACTGAGCCACTCTGGGCCCCCGCTGCCCTCCCCCATGTCCACCCCTCTGGCTTCTATATAAAGTACTTGCTGGTACCCAACGCTGTCTTGGTCCTTCTGTGCCCATGTAAGGGCCAGGCAGCTCTCGCGGTAAGGCAGCCCTGTGGCCACCCACCTGCTGCCCACACAAATTGCCCCTGGGGTGCAAGCACCCCCGGGGATGCCGGGAGGACTCTGTGTGCTGGTGGCATTACCCTGTTTCACCCAGGCAAGGTAGGGTTGGGAGGATGTGTTACTGTCTGGTGGCACCTAGCTTTTCCCAGCCAAAGGCTGTCCAAGGGAAGGGCTGCAGGGCTGGTACCCCAGTGTTCTAACCTCCTGTAGAGGTGTGATTTTGGGGTGCAGGAGGCAGTGGTAGACAATCTGCCCTGGGCTGGTGAAGCTACTTGTCCCATTGTCAGTGCCCAGGTCAAGCCTTGCCTTGCTGCCAGGGATAGAAGGAGCATGATGTGCTCTGCTGGGTCCCCCCGTGGTGAGGAGCCGTGACAACAGGCAGTGACTTCCAAAGCAGCTCAAACCACAGCCAAGCCCCCTTCCTTGCTGTGGACATGCTGGCACAGTCCTCCCAGCACAACGGGACCTTGCAGGGCTGGGGTTGCCCACCCACCCAGCAACATCTGCTGTGTCAATCACTGCCTTGCACCAGCAGTGGCACGTGGCAGTGGCATGTGATGGCATGTGTGATTCTTGCCAGCCGCTACAATGGTGTCCCACCCATGTTGTCACCCGCTGAGGTAGCACGTGACATCCACAGGGATTCATCTGAGAGAGCTGGTCCCTCCCCATTGCTGTTAACATGGGAGAAGCTATTGATTGTGCTGGCTGCAGTCCTGCGCAATGGGGTTGTCCCAGGTGGATGCTAACAGCTTCCTCCAGCAGCGATGGGCTGATGGGAGCTGATGCTTGGGAAAAGGGGTTTTGAGCATCCCTGGGGCTGGCTGGGCAGTGGGGTGCCATGGGAGCCCATCCTGGGCAGGGCTGGGACTGTGGGAGAGAAGGGAGATGCCAAGTTGAAGATGCTTTAAAAGCAGCGGTGGAAATACTGGGTAAGCAGAGTCTGACCCCAGCTTGAACACCCAGCAGGATCCTTCCCACATTGAGAGAGCATGGAGAAAGATCCATGCCTGAGGTGGTCCCTGGCACCCACTGCTGTAGTGGTGCCTCCTAAACTGGTGCATGGCAGGTCAGGGTAATGCTGAGGTCTGGGGGGAATGCATGAAACTGCTCCTATTGCCCCTGCCTGGAAAATGACCCAGTGTGATGCTGGCTGGGGGCTCAGGGTCTGCGTAAGTGAGTACTGGGTACCTGCAACGTTTGGGATCTCCATGGTTGCAGCGCCTATGGTGGAATGTCCATGTGGCAGCATCCTTACCTCCTTTCTCTGCCTGCAGCAAGCTGACACGGGAGAGCGGGACAGATTTCCCCATACCTGTCATCTCCTCGGTGCCAGATGCAGAGACGGAGAAGCTCATTCGGGAGAAGGATGAGGAGGTGAGCGTGGGGTAGGACTGAGGCCCCCTGATCACTCCACATCCCTATCCCCAGTAATGGCATAGCTGCGAGGCGCCACCCTTTCTGCAGCAACCCAGCAGCTGCTGCTCTTCAGGCCAGGATGAGGAGGTGAAGGAGTAGCACCCTTCTTCATCCCTTCCCCCCCCCCCGCCCCAGTTCTTGATGATCCCAATCTGGTTTTTGCACGGGAGCTGGCGTAGCTGGGAGGGGTACCAGCGCCACCCACCGATCCCTTCTTTGCCCCCTTCCAGCTGCGGCGCATGCAGGAGATGCTCCAGAAGATCCAGAAGCAGATGAAGGACTCACACTAACTCCTTTTGCCTCTTCCTCCTCCTCCTCGTGCCCCAGATCAGAAACATTTGCATCACTCTCCATCCTACCCTGACCCTGCTGCAAAACGCAGTACAACACTGACTGCATCTGCCACCTTAAGCTGTTGTGGTATTGCCTTATCCAACCAACCAGCACCCATCCCATGGGGACAGTGAGGGGACAATAAACGCAGTCTGGAGGTCCCCTGGCCTGGCCAGATTGCGGCTCACCTTGCCTCAGGCTGGGGACAACTTTGTCTCCTGAGCTTTGGCTTTCCCTGTTTCCTCCGCAGCTTTGGGGAGAGACACCAGCTCCTCATGTTATGTCTGTCCCTTGTCCCTGTGTCACCTCCAGCCTCTCTGCTTACAGCCTTCATGCTAAGCTTGGCCCAGGCTTCAGAGAAGAGGAGGTGGATGGGGTTGACTCAGCTGCCATGCTGAGGGGAGGACAGGGCTGCTTCCCCCTGACTTTGGCTGGAGCAGAGGGTCAGCAGTTCCTGAGGACTGCAGGTGACCAAGGGGGTAAAGGAGCAGCCACTGTCCTGGCCTGGGTGGCAGCCGGCACTCAGATGCCTTTGGCTGCCTCCCATCCAACACTGGTGCAAGGATGAATTGAAGCTCAGCAGTGTCCAGCCCTATGTCATTGGCAGGGACCTTGTCCCCTCTGAGCACTGCCCCTTGGGAGCATCCCGTGTCCCTTGGTGTCAGAAAGGGCCATGGATGGAGAGCACTGGAGAATCACAGTCCCTAGAGAAAGTTCCTAGAACCCTAAATCAGAGGCCAGGTCCCCAGTGATGTTTGCCCTGTAAAGCAATAATGACTGTCCTGGTGGTGTTTCCTGACCTGCAGCAACAGCATCGTCCCTCACTGGTGTTTCAGCCCCTGGTGCCACCTCTTTGTCTGCAGTGTCCCTGTGTGGCCTTAGGATGGCCCTGTCCCAGCTGCTTCCTGGCAGAGCATCACTGGATGCCCAAGGATGTCCCCATTAATATTGCTTTTCAGGAAATCACTGCTGTGTGTCCCCATCTGTGTTTCTTTCCCACAGAGTACTAATGTTAGGTGCCTATGTCCCCCCAGGATGTCCTCACCTGTGTTGCTGCTCTGCAGAGCCCTGTATCTTGTCCCTGTGTTCCCCCCAGGATGTCTATATCTGCACTGCTCTCTGGCAAAGCACCGCTCTGTGGCCCCAGTGTGAGCCCTGGCCAGTAACTGTGGAGATGGACCTGAATCCTCCCTGCCAGCCTTCTGCTCTCTCCCCCTGGGTAGAGGGAGAGATGAAAGGGGATGGTGAGGCTGGAGAGCAGAGGCAGAACCGCGAGCAGTGGGATTGCTGGGGTCCCCTGGGTGGGTTCACCCCAGGGCATGGGGTTTGCACCCAGGCAGCTTGGCTGAGGGGGGCTCTGTCTGGTCAAGGCTCAAAGTGGATACTGCAGGATGTTGATGCAGCATCCAGCATGTGACACCCATGTCCCTGTGCCACTGGAGGGTCCCTTGATCCCCTTGGGCGGGGCCCCACAGGGTCTATTAGCACTTTCCTTTTTTTAATCTTGCTTTTTCTTACAGAAGTACCTACCTTCGCATGGTGGTCATAGAGGCATTTATTAAAGGATAAGCAGAGTATAGGTTTATAAATTCTTATAGAGCTAGTGGAAATATTTTTATCCCTCCACAACCATTCTCAATAAATATGGCTGACCCACCTTGTCTGACACCTTAAGTTGCTTCCATGTGGATGCTGGGCACCCTATGGCCCCAGGCAGGCAGGCAGGCAGGCAAGGATGGGGGCTGATGGTGGCCAGTGATGTGGCCTCTTGCTCCTGGCTCCTGTTTCCCTGGCAAAGGCTCAAAATGGGTACTGGAGGGGGCATATGCTGCACCCACTGGGGTACCCAGCTTGGTGTGGGAGACCTTTTGGGACCCAGCTCTGCAGGTGAAAGGGGAACAAAAGGATGAGGTTCCCTGCCTGCATGCTGCTGGTTCATCACCTTCTCATACACGGCCTTGGGGTCACATGGCCCTGGGTATTGCTGGTTTTGGGCTGTGATGGGAATTGGCGTGGGGGGATCGGAGGGGTGGTGGTGGATGGGGGTCCAGAGCCTGACCCGCGGATTGAATTGCCCTACACATGCTGCCCCTCAGCATCCCTGCAACCTCACGCTGAGATGAGCCCTGCTGGGGGACATGCAGGCACTAGGCCCTGTGAGTACCAATGCCCAGTTACCCTAGTGTGGTTTCACTGGGAGGTTGGGCAGAGTGGCACCGGGGTGGATGAGCTACCTTCCAGTGGGTATCACCCCATTATTCCTCCCTGCACCCTGTTTTCCTGGCCTGCATACCCCCTGCACCCCACTATCTTGCACACAGTGCTGTTGAACTGAGCTGGCACAGGACAGAGTACCTGATGCCTCTTCTTGGGACCCCCAAATCCTGAGCAGCAGTGGGGAGGGTGCACAGGAGTGGGGCTCGCAGTTTGGGAGGGCACCAGCACTCATGTAGGGCTGGGTCTAGCACAGGGCAGTGTGTTGGGGTGATCCCGGGTGCTTGTTGTGACACCCCACACAGGGCATGGGGCTGGACCTGCCCCCAGCACCCTGCAGGGCTGGGCTGTGTGGTGCTAGGCACATCACTGAGCTCTCAGGGCCCCCCAGGACATCCCATGGGCATCTCTGGCCCTGATGCCTTCATTACCATGAGCATCCTGACCTGACACTCTAGGTCAGCTCAACAGCCCAGGTGCTGTGGGTATGTTCAGCCCAGCCTTGTCCTGTGTGCCCACTACTTGTGTTTCTGGCTACCCCTTAGGCTTTGTTTTACTTCCATGCAATGGACTGAAAAACCAGCCTTCCTCCCACCATGGAGGCATGCTCAGTCCCCTGTGCCTCCCCTCATCCATCATGGATGGATGGGAGTGCCACCCTGCAAAGAACTGCAGAATACTGGTGGGTGACAAATGGGGCATGACCCATCAGTGTGCGCTTGCAGCCCAGAAAGCCAAGTATCTCCTGGGTTGCATCACCAGCTGCGTGAGCAGCAGGCCGAGGCAGGGAATGGTCCCCCTCTGCTCTCCTCTCCTGAGACCCCCTGGAGTTCTGCGTCCATCTTGGGGTTCTCCAACAGAAAGCACACACGGACCTGGTGGAGTGGATCCAGAGGAGCCCACGAAAAAGGCCTAAGGGCTGGGACAGCTCTGCTGTGGAGAAAAGCTGCCTTACGGGGAGCTACCAGACCCATCTGCTGCCTGGTTCACTTTCTCCCCTTGCTGTGGGTCAGAGCTGGAACAGGAAACCACCCCAAGGGGTTAGTCCCGCCTTTACCAGAATTGCCTCAGTCCCACCTAGCTCCATCAACTTCACAAAGATGCTGAAATGCACCTGTGGCCAGTGATGCCAACACTGGCTGTTCACTGGGCCTCAAATCATCATCACAAATATTAGCCCTTTTAACATCAACATGGAGAATGTTTGTGCTTCTTTTGGTGGTGCTGGGATGGGTGAACCTGCCTCATCCCACATCTTACCCTCACAGTTCGCAGCATGCCAGCATAGATCCCCATGCTGGTGGCCTTCCCTGCAGCTCCCCTCCAAGAACAGCCAATAGAGCCTCTGAGCCCAGGCTGACTGATTTAGCCTGGTTCTCCTTCCTCCTGGAGGACAAAACCCTGCGCTGATGCTCTGATGATAGTCTCAGCCTGTGCCTACCCTTCGTTGTGCTCCATTTCATGTGATTTTGATCACATATTTGAAACTAAAAACCCCCAAACCCACTCAAGCCCAGCCTTCCCATGGCACACAGATTCTGCATTGCAAATACTCCAGTGCAAACTCTCCCATGGCCTATTTTAGGTTCCTTGCCAGCGCCAGCACTGGCTGCAGACATTGCAGACTGTGGAGCCTTTGGCATTAGTTGCAGTAGAAGGAAATAAGGGTTTCGTAGGGCAGAAAAGGAAAACTCTCCCCTCCTTTCCTGAGCTGTGCCACATAAGGAAACCCCCAACGGCATCAGCCCTTCCTTCATTTTCCTGTATTTCTTCTTTTATTCCTTATATTATTCATAGAATCCTAGAATGGTTTGGGTCAGAAGAGACCTTAAAGCTTATCCAGCTCCAGCCCCCTGCCACAGGCATGGACACCTTCCACTGGAGCAGCTTGCTCCAAGCCCATCTGTCCAGCCTGGCCTTGAACACTACCAGGGATGGGACAGCCACAGCTTCTCTGGGCACCCTGTGCAGTGCCTCAGGACCCTCACAGGGAAGAGCTTCTGCCTCAGAGCTCATCTCAATCTCTCCTCTGGCAGGTTAAAGCCATATTTTTCTATGCTAGAGAGCCCCATGCAGCCCCAGCTCTTTTTCCAGAATTTGGGGTGAGGCCCAGATTGGCACTCCCCAATATGGTTCTCCTGCCCCATTGTCTCTGTGTGGTGGGGGCAGGAGAACCATGTCCCATTCAACCGCTACTTCCTCTTGCTTTTCTTCTTGCTTTCGATCAAGTCCAGCCCTTGCTGCTTGATGGCTTCTCTGGTGAGGACAAGGCCACTGTGGTTGTCAGGGAAATCAAAATCGTCTGGAGGAGAGAGCGGAGAGGAGCGGGCTGGGGAGGGTCTGTGGGGCTGCCTCTGCGGTGCCTGTGTCCCCAGGAGGAGCCGGCAGCTCCCATAGGAGGAGGCCACTGGCAGAGCCAAGCCCTGGCTCTGAAGAAGATTCACAGCCAAGTGATTCTGAAGACGAGGCTCTCCCCGCTTGCACCACAGCATCCCTCCTTGCTCCTGTGGTGTTTCTACGCTCCCCAAGCCACCATCTGCCTCCAGTCTCCCACATGCACACAGAAAAGCAGCACTATGCTCAAAGGCCTGGAGCCAAGCGCGGTCAGCCCCAACGCCTGGAGCAACTCCTGGGTTGGGCTCTGCTGGGACAGTGGGAGATGGGCAAGGACAGCCAGAAATGCCAGGAGGCAGGGGCTGGCTGGGGCAGTTGCCGTGGGATGTGTCCCCTTTCCTACCTTGGAGCCTCACGCCCGTGTCCTCCAAGGAAACCCTCTGGTTCCGTGGATCGGTCGTGAGGGTTTCCTCCAGCAGCTGCCTGACCTTCACAAAAGTCTGTGAAAGAGACGCTGTGTTCATAGCTGAAGGGGAGGCGGGTGTTACAAGCAAAGGGGTGCCCAACCTCCATGTGCCCCTGGTAGGGAACACCCCACAGAGCCCGGGGCCACCTGGGCCTGAGCTGCTCCGTGGCTCTTCCCTCGAGCACCTCCATCCTCCAGCTGGGAGGATGGCTTGGCACGGGCCACCCGGGAAAGCCTGCGCGGGTCCCCAAAGAGCGCAGCAGGGATGGAGCCGCCGTGCACCTCATCGTCCTCGCTGTGGCTGGAGGGGGGCAGGTGAGCCACCCGCTGCACCAGGTACTGCAGCTTCTGCTCACACTGCTGGAGCTTCTCGTCCACTGCCATGGCCTTGACAGGATGCTCCTGGAGTCAGAGAGGGAAGAGCCTTGGTGGGGAGAAGGAGCCCCTTGGGGTGATGGTCGCTGCACCAAGTGTCACCACACGGTGCCGTTGCAGCACCAAGCAGAGCCTGGGCTCTGCTCAGCCCAGCGTTGGGCGGGTACCTGGCCAGGCACGGTGATGCCCCGCAGCCGGACGAAGAGGTTGTCAAGTGCGTTTTCAAAGTCCAGCAGCGTCTCCTGGCTCCTCAGCAGCTGGGCTCGCCCCTGTTCCAGCCGAGCCTCTTCCCGCTGCAGCCTCGTCCTCAGCTCCTCCACCAGCCCCCTGGAGCCAACCACGGTCACATCCATACAACGGCACAGGGGTGCAGACACCCCAAAGCTGTTGCAAAAGCTGCTGCCCAGCTTCTCCCCTGCCCCCAAGCGCAGAGCAGAGACGCTGCCTGCAACTCAAGCCCACGCTGCTGCTGCTCCCACTTCCCATGCCAGGCAAGGAGCAAGGCTCCTCCTGCTGCCAGCGCAGGAGCTTTGCGTGCTCTGCCAGCACCAGAGCTGGGGCAGCACTCTGCTCAGAAAGCCTCCCAGTGCGGGAGGGGTGGGCAGCCGCAGGGTGACAAAGGAAGGGCTGCCCTCTTGGGACACCTGCCATGCACATGTCCCCCTGCCCCTAAGGGTGCCGGCCCCTTTGGCATGAGTGTCCGGAGGCCAGCAGCACCTGCTTGTGTCTGGGGGCCGGCGAAACTTCAGCTCATCGCGCTGCATCTCCAGCTCCTTCACTGTCTTCTCCAGCTCCTGCTTCTTCTCCTTGCACCTTGTGAGGTAGTGCTCCATTTCCAGCAGGGACTTCTGCTGTGCCTGGAGCCTGACGGGGATGTCCTGGCCGGGGGAGAGCACAGGGACTCAGCCCAGGGCACTCCTGCAGGGTACAGGATCTGGGCCGTGCTCCTGGGGAGGTTTCTGCACCAGGAACCACAGGAAGCACTGCAAGTTGATGGCGTGGAGCAAAGCAGTTCCAGCCCTGCCTGTACAAGAGGGGCCCTGGGGGGCTCTGGGGGCAGAGGAGAGCAGATAACCCTGCCATGGAACAAGGTGAGCAGACAAGGCTCAGCTCCCTGGGGCTGGAGCAGCCCCAGCTTCTACCAGAGACGGCTTTTCACCTCACCCAGAGGCGGGAGCACTGCACCACATCCTTGGCCTTCTCCATCTTCTCCCTCACGTAGGCCTCCCGCTGCAGCTGGGACTTGGTGGCCTCCAGTTTGGCAGCTGCGGTGGAAAGGTTGTGGCAGGGAAGGATGCCTGCGGCTGCGCCTGCATCCGCCCCCTGCACCCTGACAGGCACTCACCCACCACTGGGTCCTCTGCGGGCAGGCGCAGGAAGTCCCTGCTGAGGTCACGCTTGGCTCGCTGCAAGGATGTTCATCGTCACCCCTGAGCTGCTGGCACCCTGGGGGAGCTGGCCCTGCAGCCCCTCACCCATGGCAGGCTGGGCACTGATGCCCGCCCTATGCCTGCAACCCTGCCTGTGCCGGGGCCCCCCAGCTCACCATTTTCAGAGCCCTTTCTTTTGCTTCCTTGAGCCAGCCTCCGTCTGTGGGCTCTTTCTGAGCAGCCTGGGTGCGGAGCCTGAGCTCCCTCTCTGCAAGGACCTGGGTTTTCGTCCTGACCATGTGCTCCTGGAGAAGAGCAGAGCAGAGAAGAGCAGAGCAGAAGAGAAGTGGCTCCCAAAGCTCCAGCGGACCTCTGTGAGCTTCTAAGCCTGGCATGGCCAGCATCAAAAGTGCCACCCCCTACCCCCTGTAAACAGCCTGGGAAGGAAAGCGAGCAAGGCCAGCTAGAGGATGGAGAACGCCACCTTCCCCGTGGCCAGGGCTTCAGGCAGCTGTCCCCAGCTCAGGGCAGCCTGGCCCAAGAGCCAGACACAGGAGGAGCTATGGAGGCATCTGGGTGCTGCGGGGAAGCCAAGCTCAGTCTTGCTTTTTCTTGAAGGAAGGAAGACTCAGCAGCACGGCCATCTGGTGCCATGTGTGGGCTCTGGAGGGCAGGAAAGCACCCCGAGGTGCCCTGGACGATGGTCTCACCTTGGCTCCACGAACAGCTCTGAGCCCACGCGAGGCCATGAGCTCCATGTCTTCCACCTCCCTATGCTGCAGCTCGGCCATCTCACTCAGGAGGTCCAGGTGCAGAGGCAGGTGGGCCAGCTCCTGGGACACGGGGAGCCACAGCCCACTGAGTCCCAGGGGTGCCTTGTGCTGGGACAGAAGGTGGAGGGGAGCAGGAGGACCTCCTGCAGGAGGGTGTCCCACCAGCACAGCCCCTTGGGCCCTTCAGTGCCTTTGCAGGGGGAGCGGGTGAGGCAACGGCACGGTGAGGATGAGCTCACCTTCCTCAGGGCATCCCGCACCGCCACGTACAGGGCAGTCACCTTCTGCCCAGCGCGGACTTTTGTTTGTATCTTCTCTATGTTGCCCTCCAGGGTACGAACCACCTGGGGCAGAGAAGGTTGGAGACAAGGGGTGAGCCCATCTACTGAGACCAGTGCCCACCCAGGGGGGCAGGGTTGACTGAAACCCCCCACGGGTGCTGCCACCCCAGGGAGGGGCCCTGGGACCTGTGCCTGCTGCTGCTTTTCGGCCCTCTGGACATCCTGCAGCTGCTGCAGCCGCCTCTGCAGCCGCTCCTTGGCCCGGCTCCGCTGCTCCACCTGGTACAGCAGCATGTTGCATGTGTTCACCTGGCGACAGACTTCAGCCCGGAGCTTCTCCTGGCCCACCTGCATGGGATGTGAGCATTTGCCAGGCTGGAGGCAGGGCTCGCTGGGCACCCACGGGAGAAGGGGTCCTGCCTGCAAAACTCGTTGCCAAGGTAGAGCTGGGGATGCTGGGACCTGCTCGCTCCCTTGGCGGGACAGGAGCTCTGCTGGGGCAAAGGACCTGCTCAGGGAGCTAGGGGAGGACACTGATGGGTCCTGCAGTGCAAAGGGTCCCACGGGACCACTCATGGACGCCCCGTGTCTCACTGCACCAGCCCTGTGGGGCTGTCCTGGTGCTGGCACCAGCTGCCTGTTCCCTCCAACCGCTCCTTCTGAGCATCCCCTGAAGCCCAGCCCACTGCCAGCAGCCTGGCCCCGCTGGACCCTGCTATTACCTCCAAAGGCTTACTGGCCAAAGCAATGCCCAAGGGCTGCTCCGCTCCGCAAGCCTCAGCGACGGTGAGCTCATGCTGTGGGCAGAAGAAGGGCAGAGAACACATCACTGCCAGCCTGGGCAGTGATGGTCCCAGCCTCCTGCTGCCCTGCACTCCCTGCTCCTGGACAGGACCAGTGGAGAAGCTAGCTCTGCACGTCCAGCAGAGTCACGGTCACGGAGGCAGCAAATGGGACCTGCCGGTACCTTGCGGGCAAGGCCCAGGATAGATATCCTCCTGCACCGCCTCTCGCAGCTGGGGCAGCCGCTCCAGGTTCTGCGTGAACTTCTCTTCCTGTGGCTTGCTGTACAATTTCCTTGCTTGCCCTGCAGGACATTGAGGAGCTGTTGGTACCATGCAGGATGATGCGGGGACCAAAAGCCCCCTACTTGGCCCAGCCCATAACGCAAAGCCAACGGGGGGGGCAGCACCTTGCAAGGCTATGCTGGCACGCATCTCACGGATGCGCCTGCTGAGGTTCGTCTTCTGGCCCAGCATGATGCCGCTGCTCCTGCCTCGGCTCTCCAGCCCCGCTGTGTACGCAGCAGCCACTGCAGTTCTACTGCCCGCTGCAAGGCTCACAGAGCTGTGGCCAAGCCAACGGAGCTGAGCAACCTACGTCCTCATAATTGTCGCAGGGCTGTAACCACAACATGGAGCTGAGCTCCCTACGCCCTGGGAACTGTTGCCGCGCCGTAACCACAGCAACGGAGCAAGAGCAGCCTCTTGCTGCCTGGACATGTCCCTTTGGAAAGGTCAGCTCATTGGTCAGGAAACAGCCGCGCAGGGAGTTACGCTCCTGTTGACACGGGCAAGAACCAACCAGCTCTCAATACTGATTATTTATTTGGATGCTCACCGTATGCTCTTGCTCACCTACAAACGGGACACGAAATGCAAGCACGTACACTTGTTTGTTGGTCAATACCATCAAGATCCCACTACCAGAGAGCTGCAGAAAAAGACTTTGGAGGAAATGGCCTTCCCAGCACTAAGCTTGTACTTCAGCTGAGATCAAGCTTCTGTAATGCGGGGTCTTTTACCTACAGCCATCCTGTTGTGCTAAGGGGGTTAAGAAATACCCTCTGAGGCTCTTACTCAGCATCTCCTTTGCAGATTTATAAATGGCATGTTAGTGCTAATAGCCAGTGAGAAGCTAAATTCCGACACGATTATCTCTAGTGCTTCATCAAGCCTGCATGAAGAAGTGGTCGCTTGAAAGACAAGCAGGGAAGGGTTTGTACAGCCAAGGAATCTCCCCAGTCTGGCCATGCATGTAGAGATCTCCACACGGAGGCCATGTCCACGCGCCAAATACAGGAATTACGCCCCTAACCTTTCCGAGGCAAAATTTAAACCCGTAGATTACCTTGGGGGCAAGAGAAAGCATTTTAAATGGGATAAAGTGGTTCATGAATCTCCGTTTCACTGTCCCTCAGCAAAACTCGGCCTCGACAACGGCAGCGCCTTCCAAAGCGTTACTAAAGACATTTCACCCAACCTTGCACAGCCAACAGCCCACAGACTGCTGCAGCAGTGAGCTTCCAAGAGGAAGCCTCTGACTAAGGACCTAGTCCCGCAGGCCCTCTGCACCTGACATCTTGTCATGGTGGCCCCTGAGCCCTGCCCTGAGCGTCCCGGCTCTGCTTCGCTTGGTCTCCTTCAGCTGCGCCCTGCACTGGAAGAACGAGGACGTGGTGGGCACCGTGCTGCAGGAGCAGGGTTCAGCCTTCAGGTGTGTCTGGCACGGGGGGGATGCTGGGCAGCATCCCAGCTGCCAGGGCTGCGCTGGCACCCGCCGCCCCTCAGGCACCTTGGTGGTCCCTGCCTGTGCCCTGTCCTGACAGTGTGCTGGTGCCTGGCAACATGCCCCCTTCCCCACAGCAACCGGCTGTCCCCTCACCTTGATAGTCTCTACCACCTGCAATTGGTGGTAGAACTCCTTCAGGCATTGTGAGAAGCCCCTGTCTCTGTCAGCTTCACACAGGGTGAAGGTGCTCTGCAGGAATTTCATCTTGGCATCCTGCTGGGCAGCCTCCTTGACACCCAGGGGATGAACAATTGTATTGCGCATCACTTTTGTTTTCTGTCCCCCTCCCCTTCCTCTGGGTGTTGCAGAATGACTCTAAGAGCAGGACCATAGAGTTCTGGAGGACTGTGCAAGCAAGGCAGGGGGTGGCCCCCAGAGGTGACCAGAGACCGGACCTGGGAGGAGAATGTGGAGGAAGCTGTGGGGGCTAACCAATACTGTTGCCAAGAAGGAGTGGCTGAATACCACTCCTATATGTGTGTGAACTGCCTAAACTAGAAGTTGCTTATCACCCATATTGGGTTGGCCTGTCTGCTTCTCCTCGCCGCTTACATCTGGGCTCCTCTCGGAGCCATTCCTCATGGATGCCAATGACCGCCCCACTGTGGTGGGGACAGTGTGCCCAGCTGGGGTCCAGACCCACTGCTGCTCAGTCCCTCAGCCCCGGGGAGCGGCGGTCCTCTCGCACAGGCCTCCTGCTGCCTCACCACCCCAGGGCTCCCTCCCATTCTGCTGCTGCCAATGCCCACATTCCAGCCTAGCTTTTCCTTGGTTCCCTTCCATGTGGAGGGATGGAGTTTTGGGTGGCTAAGAAAGGGCAGGTTGGCGTGTCGGTGGGGCTTATCTGGTGCTCACCATGTGTAGGTGATGCCCAGCAAGAGCTTTTTGTCCTGGCACAGCTGTTGTGGGAGGAGGCATAGGGTGTTTTAATTTTGGCTCTTCTATGCAGGCTATCTAT